AAGGAGGATGAAGGTGACCTCCGCGCTCCAGTGAGGGAGGCGGGGACATGGAAAACACTCGGAGCACACGGAGCCCTCTCAGGTTTAGCTAGCCTTCCCCGAACCGGCCTCTGTCTGCAGACATATGTGTGTGGCTACCTGCAAGCGAAACATTTACATACATATTCACAGAACGGGAACACCCGAGGATAGTCTTTGTGTTTATGCAACACAAACTGTTCCATGCGGAGATACACATGACGAGTCGTGTACAAATGTGCACACAGGGAACCATTCCAGAGAGTCAGTGGGGAGGCAGGGGTTTGGAAACGCAGACTGGATTGAGTGAACAAGTAGGAGCGAATGAACATCAAAAAACGGATCATGTGGCTCCCTGGAGCCTGGCGAAAGATCCCTGAGCTGGGGGTTGTAGGCAGGGCCCTTCGGTTCTCCTCCAGTACCTCCCGCAGCACCAGGGTGTAGACCCAGGACACACACGTCCCTCTTCCAGACACTAACAGCATCCTTGTCACCTATTGCAGGACTTAGTGTAGCGCTGGTACTTAATAAATAATAACGAGGCTATCATCCAGCCTATAGAAAGGGCGGTCTGCCGACTATTGGAAAGAACAGACCGAGAGACACCATGAGCTAGATAGCCTCAGATTTCTCCACGGACGCTTCCTGCCTGCGGATTATCTTACTACAGTTAATGTACAAATTCTTATCGAATATGGAATCAGTGATCACAAACTGAAAACAGAAACCAGAGATGTCAGGCCCCCTGGAAACTCAAGGAGAGGAGTACTTAGGTAGTCCCCCTGCCAGAGGAGACGCCGACACTGAGCGGCCTTCCCTGCTTCCTCCAGCTGGGAGAGTACAGAGCTGTCAGTGACAGGGACTTTCTCTTTCGGTTGAAAACATCAGCCCTCTTGATTGACAGTGAGAAGTCTGCATACCCAGTCGTACTTTCGGGGAAAAGAAAAGGTGTTAGGTACAGCCTCCCACATACCAAGAAACTAATCTCTCTTTGAATCAGCAACACACGGTACATGCGATATCAAACCTGTTCCTCGAAATAGATACTCAAATGTATTCACTTTGGCAGAGTGGCTCTCCCCCTGGCATGCTTATAAAGTTATTGAAACCTGATCTTCAGCACGGGAAAGAGGATGCCGTTTGACAGTAAAGGGAAAGAAAAAAATCAGAACGTCCCCATGTCCAGAGTGGGGCTGTACAGCAAATGTCAGAGTAGATTTATGTGATGGGGACAAATCCTTTATAACGTGCCTTGCCTTTTTCATCGCCTCTTTGTACAACTTACCAATGATTTTTTTAAAATCTCGTTTGTTTTCAGAACACACAGATATCTGCCCTTCGGAATGATCCGAAACCCCTCCCACCACAGCCCCCAGCTCCGGCCAGCCAGGACCAGAATTCTTCCCAGAATACCAGGCTGCAGCCGACCCCGCCCACTCCGGCACCAGCACCCAAGCCTGCTGCACCCCCGCGTCCTCTGGACCGGGACAGTCCTGGTGTAGAAAACAAACTGATCCCTCCTGGGGGCAGCCCCGCCAGCTCCACGCCACTGCCCCCAGATGGTACCGGGCCGAACTCGACACCCAATAACCGAGCGGTGACCCCTGTCTCCCAGGGGAGCAGTAGCTCTTCAGCAGATCCCAAAGCCGCCCCACCTCCACCAGCGTCCAGTGGCGAGCCCCCCGCGCTGGGAGAGAACCCCGATGGCCTGTCTCAGGAGCAGCTGGAGCACCGGGAGCGCTCCTTACAAACGCTCCGAGATATCCAACGGATGCTTTTCCCCGACGAGAAAGAATTCACAGGAGGACAAAGTGGGGGACCCCAGCAGAACACTGGGGTATTAGATGGACCTCAGAAAAAACCAGAAGGGCCGATACAGGCCATGATGGCTCAATCCCAAAGCCTAGGGAAGGGACCTGGGCCCCGGACAGATGTGGGAGCTCCATTTGGCCCTCAAGGACATAGAGATGTGCCCTTTTCTCCGGATGAAATGGTTCCACCTTCCATGAACTCCCAGTCTGGGCCCATGGGACCTGACCACCTGGACCACATGACCCCCGAGCAGATAGCTTGGCTGAAGCTGCAGCAGGAGTTTTACGAGGAGAAAAGGAGGAAGCAGGAGCACGCTGTTGTGCAGCAGTGCTCCCTCCAGGACATGATGGTCCATCAGCATGGGCCTCGGGGCGTGGGCCGAGGGCCTCCCCCTCCATACCAGATGGCCCCCGGTGAAGGCTGGGGGCCGGGGGGCGCAGAGCCCTTTGCTGATGGGATCAGCATGCCTCATTCTCTGCCCCCGAGGGGCATGGCTCCCCACCCCAACATGGCAGGGAGCCAGATGCGCCTCCCTGGGTTTGCGGGAATGATCAACTCTGAAATGGAGGGACCGAACGTCCCCAACCCAGCATCGAGACCGGGTCTTTCTGGAGTCAGTTGGCCAGACGATGTGCCAAAAATCGCAGACGGTCGAAACTTCCCGCCTGGCCAGGGTGTCTTCAGTGGTCCTGGCCGAGGGGAACGCTTCCCAAACCCCCAAGGATTGTCCGAAGAGATGTTTCAACAGCAGCTGGCAGAGAAGCAGCTGGGCCTCCCCCCGGGGATGAGCATGGAAAGCATCAGGCCCAGCATGGAGATGAACAGGCTGATCCCCGGCTCCCAGCGACACATGGAGCCTGGGAGCAGTCCCATTTTCCCTCGAATACCCGTCGAGGGCCCTCTGAGTCCCTCTCGGGGCGACTTTCCGAAAGGAATGCCCCCGCAGATGGGCCCTGGTCGGGAACTGGAGTTTGGGATGGTTCCCGGTGGGATGAAGGGAGATGTCAGTCTGAACGTCAACATGGGATCCAACCCTCAGATGATACCTCAGAAGATGAGAGAGGCTGGGACGGGCCCTGAGGAGATGATGAAGTTACGCCCAGGTGGCACAGACGTGCTGTCTGCTCAGCAGAAGATGGTGCCCCTGCCGTTTGGGGAGCACCCCCAGCAAGAGTACGGCATGGGCCCCAGGCCGTTTCTCCCCATGTCTCAGGGTCCAGGCAGCAACAGTGGCTTGCGGAGTCTCAGAGAACCAGTCGGGCCCGACCAAAGGACTAACAGCCGGCTCAGTCATATGCCAGCACTACCTCTCAACCCTTCCAGTAACCCCACTAGCCTCAACACCGCTCCTCCAGTGCAGCGTGGCCTGGGGCGGAAGCCCTTGGATATATCTGCGGCAGGCAGCCAGGGGCACTCCCCAGGCATCAACCCTCTGAAGTCTCCCACGGTGTGCCAAGTCCAGTCACCAATGCTGGGCTCACCCTCGGGGAACCTCAAGTCCCCCCAGACTCCATCGCAGCTGGCAGGCATGCTGGCGGGCCCGGCTGCTGCTGCGTCCATTAAGTCCCCCCCCGTCTTGGGGTCTGCTGCTGCTTCGCCTGTTCACCTCAAGTCTCCATCACTTCCTGCCCCGTCACCTGGATGGACCTCCTCTCCAAAACCTCCCCTCCAGAGTCCCGGGATCCCTCCAAACCATAAAGCACCCCTCACCATGGCCTCCCCAGCCATGCTGGGCAATGTAGAGTCAGGTCAGTACGCTCGCGTCCTCACGGTCGCCCCTTGTGAGCCAGAGATTGCAAAAGCCTGGTTTATGTCCTTTGAGGAAGCTGGTGTCCTGACTTGATGCAGCTGGTGCCCGGAGACATGTCTCTGAGCTCTGCACTCGGAGGTGGCCTCCACCGAGACGGACGTATCTGTGGCCGGGTGCATCGTCGGTACTTCCACGGGGTTAGGCACAGGCGTCCCATCCTGGCAGAGAAACACGGCTCTCAGGGCAGAGTATGTGTGTCAGATGGGACTGTTAAAAGGAAGAGGAGAAAATGGGAAGTATTTGTCATTTCACAGACAAATTTACATTTGCACGGTGAACATGTTGGTGAAATAAAATGCCTTAACGGTGGGTAAATGTGGCTGCTTTAAATACTAGGCCCGCCCACTGGAGGGGGCTGCCCTCGCATCCACAGGCTCTGAGTATAATCCTAAGCACAAAGGGGAGGCCGCTGAGAGATTTGAGTGGTTCTCGTAAATACACGTTGGCCACAGAAGCAGTTCCCAAAACCTCTTTGGTAGACTGCTGTTCTCACAGATCAGCCGCAATTTATCAGTATTTTCTTCCCAGGAGAAGCTCTCACTGATGATGGTGGTTTTATGAATGGGACCAGAGGTGGTCCGTGGAAGATGAGCACCGAGGTGTAAATACTAGGTCCGCCTTGTCTCCACTTGAGAAAAACTAGACTCCGAGTAAGATAGAAAACGTATACTACCAAGTTAAAGCGCCCCTCTCCATTGGTTAGCGGGTCATGAAAGCAGGACGGTGGGACAGCCCCCTCAGAACTTTTTTGTTCAAACGCTTTGGTGGTGGAAATTAATCAAGAGCATGTGTAGGGTTGGTGGCTGGGGTCGGATCGCTAGTCTGGCTCCACAGCAGACTAGATACCGGAGTTGAATTTTGAGTTGTGATTGGCAAGGGAAAGACCCGCTTACGTCTTGTTCTTTTCAGTGAAATAGTCCGTAAGCCGTGTTTTTCCCAAGCTTCAAGTTCTGTCTGAGGCATTCTTGGCGTGTTTGTCTTCACGTCTGCTGATTCGTCACCTCCGTATTGCGCTGTGGTCTGCCCTCTGCACACACACAGATCTTGACTAGAAGACTGATGATTCGTGTCCCGGGTCTAATAACACTGTCCTGTTCATCTGTCGCATCCCTGACCTTGCTAGTTCATAATCATAGGCCCGATAGCCTTCAAGAGCAATCTAATTCCCTGCCCATTTTTGTTTTATTTTGCTTTCTTCTAGGTGGCCCCCCACCTCCTACAGCCAGCCAGTCTGCCTCTGTGAATATCCCTGGAAGTCTTCCCTCTAGTACACCTTACACCATGCCTCCCGAGCCAACCCTTTCCCAGAACCCACTGTCTATTATGATGTCTCGAATGTCCAAGTTCGCAATGCCCAGTTCTACTCCTTTATACCACGACGCCATCAAGACTGTGGCCAGCTCCGATGACGACTCCCCTCCAGCTCGCTCTCCCAACTTGCCATCAATGAATAATATGCCAGGTAAGCGATCAGGATGGAAGCTAGGATACGGAGCCCTTGTTAGACAAAAGAGAGACTTCACGCGTGCTTTGTCGACAGCTGCAGACCTCAACGGGTGGAGGTGCAACGGGTTGAGAAAGAATACCGTTGATAGAATTAAAGTGTCTGCACTAGAGGAAGATAGCAATTTTGTATTAGTTTGACTCAGTCCGTGCTTATTGGAAAGCAGATTTCTTGACAGTTCTTAGAAAGAACTTATAGAAGTTCTGATGCTTCTGCGTGCCTGGATGGGTTCATTTTTCCCTTTCTGTGGTGGGGGGGGTGTCGAGGGTCAGAGTAGGGAGGGTCCTCCTGGAGCAAGACTGAAAGCAGTTTCCTTTTAACATTCTGATTGGATGTCTTTAGTTTTTAAGTGTTTTTCTGGAAGGGCAGCCTCCAACCGCAAGCAGCCACGGGATTTGAGGTGGTAGAAAGCCCCCGTTTCCTAGCAAGCACCGTCCTTACCATACTCAGTAGTAATTCCACAGAGAAACCAAATACTTAAATGTCCCAGAGACTATAGGAGAAACTGCATGCTTTCCCTCTCTGTTAAAAGCTATGTTTCTTTAACGTTTCATACACCCTAGAGTGTGAAATGCTCTCTGAGTAAGGCAGTCTAAAAAGATAATGCTAGATGTCATTTGGTAAAGGCCTGTTTGGTTTCCTTGTTATTATTTCTGATTCTTGGACTTGTAGGACTGATTAATCCTCTTTCTCCAAAGAGGACCATACTTACTTCAGACAGATTCTTTTTTTCTGTATGAAATGTCTCCAATGAAGAAGACTACACTGGTTTGCATATTAATTTGTAACTTTTCGCACAGGAGACTTTCTTCCTGGTTGTTTTCTACATACTCTCACGTCATACAGTTTGACACTCAAAATATAACCTCTCGTAGAGCTGTTGGGTGTCTGTGCTCCAAAATGCATTTCGATCTTGTTGAGGGCAGGGATTTCGTGACGTATGTTTTCCCGACAGAGTACCTTGCACATTTGGCTTTTTGTTGTTGCTGATTGGATTTGTTGTAGTTTTTCTAAGTTGCTCTCGGTTAAGGTGATTCCTTTGATATCTTTATTTTTCTAGGGATGGGCATTAATACACAGAATCCTCGAATTTCAGGTCCAAACCCCGTGGTTCCGATGCCAACCCTCAGCCCAATGGGAATGACCCAGCCGCTCTCTCACTCCAATCAGATGCCCTCTCCGAATGCCATGGGACCCAACATACCTCCTCATGGGGTCCCGATGGGGCCTGGCTTGATGTCACACAATCCTATCATGGGGCATGGGTCCCAGGAGCCTCCGATGGTACCTCAAGGACGGATGGGTTTCCCCCAGGGCTTCCCGCCAGTACAGTCTCCTCCACAGCAGGCTCCGTTCCCTCACAACGGCCCCAGTGGGGGGCAGGGCAGCTTCCCAGGAGCTATGGGTTTCCCAGGAGAAGGCCCCCTTGGCCGCCCCAGCACCCTGCCCCAGAGTTCAGCAGATGCAGCACTTTGCAAGCCTGGAGGCCCCGGGGGTCCCGACTCCTTCGCCGTCCTGGGGAACAGCATGCCTTCGGTGTTTACAGACCCAGACCTGCAGGAGGTCATCCGACCTGGAGCCACCGGAATCCCGGAGTTTGATCTGTCTCGCATTATTCCATCTGAGAAGCCTAGCCAGACACTGCAATATTTCCCTCGAGGGGAAGTCCCAGGCCGTAAACAGCCCCAGGGGCCTGGGCCTGGGTTTTCGCACATGCAGGGGATGATGGGCGAACAGGCCCCCAGAATGGGACTAGCATTACCTGGCATGGGAGGGCCAGGGCCAGTGGGAACTCCGGACATCCCTCTTGGCACGGCTCCATCCATGCCAGGCCACAACCCAATGAGACCACCAGCCTTTCTCCAGCAAGGCATGATGGGACCTCACCATCGGATGATGTCACCAGCACAATCTACAATGCCCGGCCAGCCTACCCTGATGAGCAATCCGGCTGCCGCCGTGGGCATGATTCCCGGCAAGGATCGGGGGCCTGCTGGGCTCTACACCCACCCTGGGCCCGTGGGCTCCCCAGGCATGATGATGTCCATGCAGGGCATGATGGGACCCCAACAGAACATCATGATCCCCCCACAGATGAGGCCCCGGGGCATGGCCGCTGACGTGGGCATGGGTGGATTCAGCCAAGGACCTGGCAACCCAGGAAACATGATGTTTTAAGCTGCTAAGATTGGATGTCAATCCAATGCCGATCCTTGTCAAGATGAGATTCCGGGTCCTGAGAGCTGCCTTGAGGGAGTTCCGGGAGTGCTGTTGGTCAGGCAATAGGAGAGCAGAGACCCGAGGGCTGCTTTGGGGGAGGGGGGAACTCGAGAATGTATGGATTTACCTGAAAACAAATGATTCATTTAATCAACAGGTGTGTTTTTTTTAAGATTTATTTTTTAAAAATTATTTTTGTGGACTTGGGTATCCCATGATGGCACCTACTTTTGGGAATCTGTAGCCTGTGCTTCGAGAATTGCCATCGGTCATGTGTTGCACCGTTCTCTGTATGTTTACGTCCTTTGGACTGGCTTCTCCCAGGATTCTTTTCTGGTTTTTTGTTTTTTTGTTTTGTTTCGTTTTTTTGTTTTTGTTTGTTTTTTTTTTATTTGCTTTGGGCTTTATTTTTTTGTGTACTGTACTATATTGTAAAAGGGATTTTAGCAGAGACTTTAGTCTTTGGGACAAGAGGAGAACAGGAATGCTGGGCCGTTTACTTTGGGTGGAGAATCCGTCTTCAGACCTTTGGACTATTTTCTTTCAACTCCAGTGTATAGAAAAAAACCAAACTACGACCTCAGAGCAGAGTATTAATGAAAAGCACAAAAAAAAAGGAACTAAGTTCAGCGAGGGGTGGGGGGAGGGGGGAGATTTTTCTTTTCAAAAATAATGAAGCTTAGGACGTTTGTTTTTCGGTTCTCGAGTGCTCTCCGGCACGGTCTGTCTCTTCCAGTCTGCAAACCCACCTTCACGGTTTTTCTCTCAGTTTCCCTCTCCTCCCCGCCCCCCACCCTGCCCTCATCTCCTTGGTTAAGTGTATCTCCTTCTCCCGTGCCCCCGCCCCCAACTGGTGACCCCTGCTTTCCTCCTCTTTCCCTTTGGCAGCTGCAATACACGGTGTTCTTTTGGGGAAGTAAATCTAATGACAGCCTCGCCTTCCAGGCCGAGCGCCGTCCCGGCTCCGCGAGGGAAAGGCCTGTGCTTGGGATGCTCGGCGGTCTTCTGCCCCCTTTCTCTTCTTCCCCGACACGCCCTTCCCTGCCCACCTGGTTTTCTGTTCTCCTTTTCTTAGGAATTCCCAAGTGAATTTTATCGATGTGGGAGTGGAACAGATGCTAAAAGCTATCCAGGATTTCGTTTTTGTTTTGGTTTTTAATTTTGTGGTTCCTCCCCTGCCCTCCCCCTCCCATGCGTAAGACGTTCTGTGTAACCTCCATTAAATTTGGTACAAAACCACTCACCAGAGCTGTGGTGTCAGAAAAATAAAATATATTGTTTCTTACAAAATCCAATTGCCTTTTTTGTTCATTTGGGTTCCTGTGCTGTTCGGTATGGGGCATGGTGCCTGCCAAGTGGCCCAGAGGCTTCCACCTTGTAGGGAGTTGGCTGATGAGGAAAGGAAGGCTAGCAAAGTCTACAGCGGCCCAGGTGAAGCCTCTTCCCTGTGGACGAGGCGGAATGAGGAATAAGCCCCCGAGGATTTATGCCGGACTGGGTCCCGTCCTAGTCGTGAAAGCCAGGCTGTCGGCAGAAGAGCAACCCCCGTCCCCAGTGCTGCAATTCACTTCTTTACCAGAATGGTCTTTCCCAGGAATTTCTGTGAGAGTCAGTTTAATGGCGTGAAGTAATTAAGGCTGAAGGTAGATTTGCAGTCATTTGCATAAGCTGTGAAACGTCCCTGGATCTTGTTAAGGCAACGCATTCCTGCTGTCCCTGCAAATCGCGGCTCTCCACAGTCCGTGGGTTTCCGCTGTCCCTTCTGGCTCCCCTCCTCGCTGCCTGCTCGTGGGCGTCTTCCCCTCCCCCGGCCCTGCTCAGGCTGTGCTGGGTTCGATCCCCCACCGCACACAGGCCCCCCAGCGCAGCAGCGTGCACCCTGCAAGGTACACGTCTGAGGGACTGGCTGTTTGTGTTTCTGTGCTTTTGGATTTGTTCCGGCGTGTGGATTTCTTTAGGTCCTAGGCGTTTTTAGCGGAGCGAGTGGGCGTCTGTGTGCGTGATCGTTCACAGGTGAGAGAAGAAGTGAGGAGCTGCAGGTGCGGAGTCAGCTGCAGACAAACTTGGACAAATTGGGCTCTGCTGGCGTTCTACAGTCCGGAGTTTTTCCTGTGACCGTTTCTGTCTCCGGGAAGGGTGTTTGAGAGCCCTTTTTCTCTCCCACCGTCGGCAGCCCTGGCTTCTCAGTAACACTGGAGCCCCAGACAACAAACGTGAGAGCACCTCCCCCACGGTCCCCTCCATGTGTGTTCTCGGGCAGATCTTTGAGGGGCCTACGAAGTAGGTGGAACTCATCTCCTTTGCAGATGAGAAAGCTGAGCTCAAGTTTAAGGATTCTGCACAATCAGATCTATTCAGATGGTCCCGCGTGGTGAAAAGTTTATGCTAGGGGAGCAAAAATGAGGGTTTTGTTTCATGAACTTAGCCATATTCCTAGGTCCTCTGGCTTTGAAGCATAGAGAGGAGAGCAGGGAACAGCGAAGCATCGGGAACATGAGAGGAGAGCCCTAAGGAAGGCTGGGACCTGGCATTTGCCCACTGGACTGGCTTCTTGGGCAGCCCCACTGCCTGCTGCACCTGATGGTGCTGTGCTCACTGAATAGTGCGTGGTCCCTTGCTACTGTCCCTAAGAGAGAGCCACGGGAGGGCAAGAGCGGGGTGGCCCCTGCTGGGAGGCGCTGGGAATGTGGCACTGCTCGCGCCGCCCCCTGCTGGACGAGTGCGGCAGTGCAGATGAGCTGCCCGCTGCAGAGCCGCGCAGTTTTGAAAAGCCCCCTTCATAAATCTTCATTCATTTACACTGTCAGCAGATACCAACAACATTTCATCAAGATGATATCTGATAAACTAAGTTCATTTGGGTTTGAACAGAACAATTTCTAATTTACTAAGAATGCTGTGAAATAAAATCACATTTGAGGGACTGGATGCTGTTGCACAGAGAACTAATTTTTAAAAATTAGCAAAAGGTTGATAAAGTTATTTCATGTTAACATAATCCTGTGAAAGCCCAGCCCGTCTCCCCGCAATTTCAGGACTAAATGGAGGAAGTGCAATAATGATGGGTTACTTCATTTCAGGGGGTAAGTGGTGGGGTGTGGATCATAGCATTATTTCTTAAGGACTAACAGAGTGTGGTGTTTTTTTCCCTAAAACAATGTGAAATAAAATAAGCTTTTTAAAAGGATCTGCACTTATAAATGAAAATAAACCACCGTGGGGGTCTTGCGAAGGGCGAGGCATGAGAAAATAGAAATTTTAAAACAAATTTGCAGATTTTAAAGCTACTTTTTAAAAAAATTCATCCAAAATTTCTCCCAGACTCCCTACTCCCCTGCTGTCACCAGGGCCAGCTTTCATGGGTGGGCAACCTGTGCAGCTGCCCAGGGCTGGGGCTTGGTCTGCTGTCACCTTTTGAAATTCTCAATAATCGTTGGATAGGGGACCCCACAGTGCCATTCTGCACTGGGCCCCACAGATGGTGTAGCCAGTCCTGACTGTTGTAAACTGGACAATCACAGCAGCTCCACAGCGGCGCTGGGCTCTCGGCCTCAGTCCTTCCTCCTCCCCAGGGGCACGGGTACCCCAGGCAGGGTGGTGGTGGTGTTGCGGTTGAACAGTCTACACTTTAGTCATTTCCTTTTCTGAGTACTTTCAAAGTGCTGCGAGGATGGGGAAGCTGTATTTAACACAAGGACTCATTGCCTTAGCAACCACCATCTAGAGAGCACCTGTGGTGTGTCCAGAACCGTGCTGAGGCTGGGACGAGGGAACAGGTGCAGAAATTGATCATTACAGTACATACGGTCAATACCGTGGTGAAGGTACAGGGTGCAACAGGCCAGAGGGGAAGGGGATTTTTCCTGGTGGAAGGTGGTGGTGGACCTTTCAACAGGCCTGCCTGTTGAAATTGGATGGGCGCTATAGAGGAGGTGGAGGGAAGAAATGAGCAGAGGGAGAGAGGTCACAGAGAGCCGGGTGGGGCCCATCGAGGGGCCCAAATCCGTAAGTGCACAGACTCATCTCTTTTGCTTTAAAAAACATTAGATTGAACTGTATCTTCGGTGCTTGTTTAAAGAACTTAAGCCTTACTGCTCCTTTCTTTTCTCTCACCTAGACCAGTCATTGTTTTTCAGAGCCACAAACCCTTGTCTCTAAGAACAGTCATGGCATCTCAGTTCGGCGGTAAAATTCGAACGATACATCTAACGCAAACAGTTTGCAAAGCAGAAAGACCAGTTTGTGGCCAACTGGTAGATTTTCTACTGGAGGGAGTCAAACAGTAAACGAGGTTAAAAAGAAGGTATGCTATGGGGACTGTAGGAATAAAAATGGTCTTGCTCTTTAACGTGGCTCTTTATCTGGGTTACTGTAATAGACTCCATCTGTTTTCTGCCTGTAGGTGACCACACTTCAACTGTTAACTTTCTGGTTCAGTGCTTAGTTGTGTTTGGCCACCAATACTGCTAGGGAAAGAAGGGGAGTATATGATCACAGACACGGTAGATAAAGAGAAGGTGCTCGGTGCTAACCACCGTCTTCCTTTCTCCAGCAGCGTCTGGAGCTAGAGTTGAGGGCAGAAAGAACTTACAAATCTTAATGGTATTCAGTGTCTAATTAGTTAGTGTTCAAGATGGATTGAGATTTTAAAGTTTTTTTGGTTTTTGGGTTTTGGGTTTTTGGTGGTTTTTTTTGCCGCAGCCCAAGTTCTTTCTGTTAAAGGCTCCTTGGAGCCTGTGGTTTTTTTGTTTTTTTTTTTCTTACTCATCTTTACCAAGCCTCCAGGAGCTTCCATTTTCCCAGCTTCCCACACAGAAACCCTCCGTGAGCTTCTTTGCCTGGAGACTCCTGCCCATCCCCACACATCAATCTGATCTAAGCGCGCATGTTCAGTTCTCAGTGGTGCTATAAGAGCTCAGGAGTACTGGCCTCCGGTTGCTAGGTTCTCAGCATCAAATGCAGCCAAGCCGGGCCCAGCACCTGGCTAGAGACTGAGTCATCCCCACTGCATTCAAACCAAATATATTTGGTTACAGGGAATCCATGGACAACTGTGATTTATTTCTTTCCCCAAGTGCAAAAGGTCTCCCAGGCTTTGGTGAAGTTCTTTATTCTAGCTGTCAGTAGTTGTGCTATTAAAATTTTTTGCACACACGGATTTATTTATTCAAGTGTATATGCACCTTTAATATACTAAGGTATGTAAATAATTAAATGCCAGTTTTGAAATGTCAACACGCTGCCGTGAAGATTAGTTTGTTTTTTCCTTGTCAATGAGGCTGGAGAATCCCTAGAATTCTCTTCATTCCTGCAAGGCCTTTAAAAGTAATGATACCAGTAAGGAAATACAAGGAACAGATCCATACAAAGTACCAGGCATCACTTGGCCCAGGAAAGAAAGGATCTTTGGCATCTGTGTAACAGAGTCCAAGGTTTCAGCAAGGACTGTTATAAGAAGGTCTTACCACCAGTGGAATATGATGGTATACAAGTTGCCTACGAGGAACGTGCATATGTCTCATTGAGAAGATACATGCTAGCAATGACTATAGAGTATGACCATATTCTATTCTCTGCATCACCATATTCATGTTGATATCACACCCCGAAATAATTACTGAATTCACCAATAAAGATGACTGGGGCTATACAGAATGAAGTTAGTGATCTTGTGACTACTTGTGACCCCCTTCCTGCATTATTAATCTCTCCCCTGGCTTTCCATCATTCCCATCAGCATACAAACAGGCCCTACATTTGGTCCTAGGCTTTCTGCTTAGTCTTCTAATTCATCTAGTCACCGTCTGTACGCTAACTCTAGAACTTCTATCTCCCTCTCTGCCTATTCACAGGAGTTCTAGACTTGCAGAGTCAACTGGCGCCTGGACACTGCCTTGTGGGTGTCTTGCAGGCACTTCAAACTTAGCAAGTCCCACACTTGATTTCTGAATTTCCCCCACATCTAATCTTCATAAGTGATACAGGTCCATCCACTTAGTTCTCAGCTCAGACACAGGGAGTCATTCTTAATTCTTTACTTCTCACATGAAGCCAGCAGCAAACCCTTTTATGTCTATTTTCCATTCTTCTCTCCATTCCAGTTCAAGTTACCATCTTTCATCTGCTCTGTTACATTCATTTCTTTTTTTTTTTCCTTAAGCTCTTATTTGTTTATTGATTTAAGTAATCTCTACACCCAACGTGGGACTCAAACTCACAACCCTGAGATCAAGAGCTGCCCGCTCTTCCAACTGAGCCAGCCAGGTGCCCTACATTCATTTCTTTTTCTTTTTTTAAAATTTTTATTTTATTTTATTTTATTTTATTTTATTTTATTTTATTTTCTAAATATAATTCATTATCAAGTTAGCTAACATACAGTGTATACAGTGTGCTCTTGGTTTTGGGAGTGGATTCCCATGATTCATCACTTACATACAACACCCAGTGCTCATCCCAACAAGTGCCCTCCTCAATGCCCATCACCCACTTTCCCCTCTCCTCCAGCCCCCATCCGCCCTTAGTTTGTTCTCTGTATTTAATAGTTTCTTGTGGTTTGTCTCCCTCCCTCTCTGTTTGTAGCTATTTTTTCTCCTTCCCTTCCCCCATGGTCTTCTGTTCAGTTTCTCAATTTCCACATATGAGTGAAAACATATGATATCTGTCCTTCTCTGACTGGCTTACTTCAGTCAGCATAATACTCTCCAGTTCCATCCACGTTGCTGCAAATGGCAGAATTTCATTCTTTCTCATTGCCAAGTAGTATTCCATTGTATATATAAACCACATCTTCTTTATCCATTCGTCAGTTGTTGGACAGAATTTGGCTATTGTTCAAAGTGCTGCTATAAACATTGGGGTACAAATGCCCCTATTTCTATTTTTAATGTTTTGAGGAACCTCCACACTGATTCCAGAGCGGCTGCACCTGTTTGCATTCCCACCAACAGTGCAAGAGGGTTCCCATTTCTCCACATCCTCACCAGCATCTGTTGTTTCCTGAGTTGTTCATTTTAGCCACTCTGACCGGCGTGAGGTGGTGTCTCAACCTACATTCATTTCTTAACTTCTGCTTCCAGTCTTGCTCTTCTCCAGTCTACTCTCCACATGGTAGCCAGAGCGATCTTAAAAAGTATAGCCCAGATACATCAATTCCTTCCTTAAAAATCTGTAATGGCTTCCCAGTGCAATTTGTATAAAATCGAAGATCTTTCACGTGACCCAGGTACCTCTCCAGTTTCACTTCATGCCCTTCTATCCTTACTCACTGTGCTCCAGCCAAACCACTCTAAGTCCAGTATCTCCAGTGTGCCAGGACTCACATACACTGGTTCCTTGGACTACATGCTCTTAACTCCAGCCACTCCCAGTGACCGATGCCTTCACCTCCTTACGTCCCAGATTGTCACCTCCTCAAGCCTTTTCTGATCACCCATCTAAATACCTGCCCGTCCCTACCACACACACACACACACACACACACACACACACACCATTTTGCATCACAACATCCCATTTGTGTCCCTTATAGCAAGGGTTCATTCTATTTCACCCACTCCATGAAGTCAAAAACTGAATTTTTCTGGCTTATCACTTATTCACCAGCATCTAGCATAGTGCCCACCTTCTAAGAGGGATCAGTAAATATCTGCCAATGAGAGAAACGAAGGGTCCGTGTGAGTTTGGGTGGCCAAGGAAAGACATCATGGTGGTTATGGTACATGAGGTGGTCTGTATAATAAAGCTGGGGGTGGGGACAACACACGTGAGGGAATGGAAGAGGGAATGAATGGGGGGGAGACAATCAGACCACTTGACATTGAAGGGAACAGCTTCAGCAAAAATAGTCATTTGGGTAACAGAATGAAACTGAAAAGAGAGGGAAAGAAGAATGGCTCCAAAAGCCAAGAAAAGTAATCTCATCTTGATATGGGAAGCAGCAGAAGCCACTCTTTGGTCTAGATCAGGGGAACTACACGAGAAGATAATTAGTGTATAAAATGGATCGGGTCTGGCGGGGGGACTCAGAAGGGACTGAAGCAAGGGGCAGCCCCAAAGCTGGGAGAGCTGACTGGCGGCATGTACAAGTCCTCCAGGGTGGAGGACGAGAGGCTGCTGGCAATGGAGAGTGAAGAGTGGAGCCAAGAGAGCTGTGAGGGAAGAAGCCCCGAGATTTCATCAGACACGGGGTGAGGGGGGGGGTGGGGAGGAGGAGGGAGGACTCAAATAAGACACCAAGGTTTCGAGACCAAGGAACTGAAAGAAGGAATTATGGCGTTGGAAAGGACCTACCTCCCGCTCTGCAGTATCCCTAGCAGGTGGCCGTCCTGTAACAGGAGGTCATGCTGTTGAATAACATCAGTTCTAATATTTAGAAAATTCTGAACACGGGGGCGCCTGGGTGGCTCAGTCAGTTAAGCATCCGACTTCAGCTCAGGTCATGATCACACGGTTTGTGAATTCGAGCCCCGCGTCAGGCTCTGTGCTGGCAGTGCAGAGCCCGCTTCAGATCCTCTGTCCAATTCTCTCTCTGCCCCTCCCCTGCTCATTCTCTCCCTCTCTTTCTGTCTCTCTCAAAAATATAAATAAACATTAAAAAAAAATTCTGGACACAGTGAGTCGGGTTTCCGTTAGCTCTTTGGCCATCCCAATTTTGCCCTTAGGAATATAGAATAAGGACAGTCCTTACTTCACAGGCTAGCCTTCCAGATGTTCGAAAACAGTTATCAGGTCCCTCCTAATTTTCTTCTTGCCAGGCTAAATTCCCTGGTCCATCAATCACGACCAATGAGGTCTGGTTTTGGGTTCCCTAGTAGCCCCCATAGTTTTATTCTGTTTCATTACAGTTTATAAACCTCTTAAAAGTATGCCACTAAGAACTTAAGACAGTAGTATTTGGTGCCCTAGTAATGTCTGGTCAACACAGAGCCCAGTGAGACTGTTGCCCCCTTTTATCTAAACAAAGTTCCTCTCCTTGGTGAAAGTTCACCTTCCCCCCCTTTCTGTGGGGGGAATTTTAGGAAATGAAAATCCCAAGATCCTTTTCATGTAAAATTAACCCTTGCCCCTAATTCCGTATATTTTTTTGCCTATTTTTTTACCCTGAATTCAGGATTTTACAGTTATTCCTCTTTAATTTCAAGTCCAATTCTGATCTATTATCCTAGAATCTTCAAGTCCTTAAAAACCTGTCCTAAAATCTTTGGCATTGGTTCTCTTTGATTTTCATATCAAAAGCAAAGATGTTAAGATTTTCATCCAAGTGATGAAAGGGTCCAGAATAAAGTCCTGAAGCTCACCATTAAAGCTACATTTTTTTTTTTAATTTTTTTTTTCAACGTTTATTTATTTGTGGGACAGAGAGAGACGGAGCATGAACGGGGGAGGGGCAGAGAGAGAGGGAGACACAGAATCGGAAACAGGCTCCAGGCTCCGAGCCATCAGCCCAGAGCCTGACGCGGGGCTCGAACCCACGGA